AGCATTCACACCCTCATAAATAATTTGAAAAACGTACGGTGGGGAGTACAGAACACCTAGGGAGATTATTGTCAGAGAGCCCGTTATGTGCTCCCAACCTCTGCAGAGATCACTGCCAGGTTTCCTCCTCTTTTAAGTAACAGAAGCATCGCTGAAGAATAAACCCACATTTTCTGTATTCTTTCAGCTAAGAAAAAAAATACACTTTAACCCCCCTGAAAACTCTGGGCTGTGTATATCTATGTATTTTAATAATGTTTATGTAACGGTAGGGTGCGTTAGCTGACAGCGAGTCGGTAACACCCTGCCTCTAAATCAGTGCCTGCGTTGGGAGGGCAGCTCGTTACTGTCAGCTGCTGTCAAATCCAACTCCCAGCAACTGATGGGTTGCAGTTCAGGATCCCAATAACGTGGCAGCTTTTTAATATGTCAGTGCACCAGATGGGGTTATTTTCTCACAAAGGTTATTGTTTACTCACTATAAAAATAATTCATAAATAAATAAATAAATAAAAAAGTCACAACTGTGATTCAACCACCTACAAACTCACTCAGAAGAGCCCCAAGTTATAAGATGGGTCAATCAGTAAATGTAAATCAGTAAAAAGAGTGACAAAACCTTTAACGCACATCAGGAGGAAGAAAATTCAGTGCAAAACCCCATCGATTAAGAATAGCAAAAACTGTTTTACTATGCCTAAATGCAGAACCTTCAAGTCAGTCCAACCTATGAAAGGGTCACGAATTCAGCGATTTCAGCAAAAAGCAATTCAAGACAGATCCTACAAAAAGAAAATCAGCAAGCTGATTTACTGCAAGTGCAGTAAGTTATTAATATGCAATGCAACTCTCAAGCTAGCAGCTATAAAATAAGCCATTGCTATTTAAGAATTGCAACACAAACGAGCACTGGATGTGGCACAGAGACTAGCACTGGGAAGACAGCAGTACAAAATCCCTACTTATTTGTGAAAAAGTGTTGCAGAGTCTCTAACATTCACACAGAAAAGACTGCAGGTCTACCTTTAAGCACCCAGACTGAAGATCCGACCTAGTAAACCAGAATTAAGTATCTTTACATATAGGACTGAATCATTCCTACCATTAGTTCAATTCAAAACTTGCCAAAGTACTTAGATCTTTTAGATAATCTGACTGAACCACTGGCCAGCTCCATCTGGCAGTACTCTGCCTTGCCTCTTTCCTATAATTCACTGGGAAAAAAAACCTCGGTACTATTTACAGTGTTTTATTAGGAAAACACTTAGTAAGCAAGCACATACTGTGGCCTTTTTGGAAACAAAAACCACCACAAAACCCTCAAAGCAATTACACAAAAGGAAAGACAAATTGCAACATACTCAACAGCATCCCCCAACCAACCGCATCTTCCAGTCACCACCAGCGAGCTGCGTCCTCGATGGACTTTCCTGGCTGGAAGCAAGAGGGCTGAGCTGCCCATCGAAGCTCTTTGCAAGACACCAACCTGAGTGGCAAGTCTCCATTTAGCAGCACAGATGTTTTGCATGCAATCAAGGCTGGCTATGAAAGAATCAGCGGGAACTAATTAACAACCAAAACAGGATGCAGAGCCGAGATATTAAGGAATTCAGCTGAAGGAGTTCAACACCTACAGAGTAATTCCTTTGAAAAAGATTCAGGCAAGGGCTCAAACCAAACAGCCAATCATTGATTATTTTTCCTGCTGTTTCTAAACCTCCCGGACATTTAATTCACCTCCTTTCCTGAATCTAAAGGCAGTGGTATCGCGCCTGGCAGCTCTGGGCGCTGTATATTCTAACAGAGGTTTTGACAATAAATATTTTAGAAGCAATGCCCTACTGGGAGAAAGGGAGTTCAAAACCTTTGCGTAGCAGCATGTCCATGAGCTGACAATTGCTTTTTTCCTGTTCAGTTAAACACTGAAACTTCACCCAATCTGGGCTTAGTCTGTACAGTATCTTTTAGTAAAAAAAAAGCAGCTTACTGTCAGGGCTATTGTCATTTTTATTTAAAGACATTTTCTGAAAGCTTGGAACTGCTGACAAGCCTCAACCAAAACAACTTAACAGCACTGTAATTGTTATATACATAACCAGGTTATAGTAAAAATTTTTCTTCTTGTCCAAAAACCTACTTAATGGGATGGAAATGATTTATTTATAAACAGAAAAGTAACAGCATTTGCCAAGTACGCTCACATCAAAAAGAGCTTATGAAGAAAACCTACAAAAGATCGGTAACAATTTTACCACATTCATATTTTACGTCATTTTCAAATAAAATAGTGAACTAAAAGAACACCTATTTCTGTAATTGTTTTACAGTGCCTTGGTACCACAAAGTCTTGTGACAGTTTTGTCCCTAAAAGGATTATAAACCTGCTGAATCATCAGAAAGCACGTACATCTTACTGGTCAAATGATGTGCATTATGTCAGAAAGTTTAAGCCACATTTAAGATCCTTGCTGCAAAGCAGCCTAGACCAATGCAAATATTAAGTTTTGTCACTTGGCTGATTTTCAGATTAGTTCTCTCTCATGGCACAATTACTTTTAGAACGTGCATCACCATCTTTGAAGTGTTTCACTACTTCGTGAAACCTTTCTGCTAATGACAGTACCTTGGACAAATTTACCCCTCCCACGTCGACAGGAAGCTATTTGAGAAGTTAAGCTACAATTAAGTACCACTTGGGATCTGTTCTGATCCTTTCGAACTGCATTTTACCACACCTCTCCTTTTCAATGTATTTTACAAGGTTTGACGGGAGAATATGGAGGTATTTGGATTTAGAGAGAACAAAGCCATGGATGAGTACAGCGACTGGAGGGAACTGTGCTGGTTCTATAAGCTGTGAAAATTCAGTGCAATGGTCTGATTTCCTTTATGTTGACTACAAGGGGCATGGTCTCCACTGCGATTCATTCCCCAAAGAAGTGCAGAGGCAGAGGAACATCCTTTTGGCGTATAATAGCCTATAGCCTTTCAACCGAGCAACGCTGAATACACAGCACTCAACAGCCACAGGTTGCCAACAACTACATCAAGAAGCGAAGACAGAAGTTGAGATGGTCTAAGAAACCTCCTCCTTTCTCCTGCTCTAACTTTACCCTGAAATTTAATTCCATTTTGCAACACCAAACAGGCAACTATAACAGCATCGTGCCCCATTCTTGTTTCACTGTGTGGACGTTGTGAATTCAGTTTAGAATCATAGAATCATAGAATCATAGAATGTTTAGGGTTGGAAGGGACCACTAGTGGTCATCTAGTCCAACCCCCCTGCAGTGAGCAGGGACACTGCTAACTAGATCAGATTGCTCAGAGCCCCATCCAACCTGGCCTTGAATGTTCCCAGGGATGGGGCCTCCACTACCTCTCTGGGCAACCTGTTCCAGTGTTTTACCACCCTCATTGTAAAAAATTTCTTCCTTACCTCTAGCCTGAACCTACCCTGTTCTAGTTTAAAACCATTTCCCCTTGTCCTAACACAGCTGGCCCTATGAAAAAGACGTTCCCCATCTTTCCTATAGGCCCCCTTTAGGTACTGGAAGGCCGCAATCAGGTCTCCCCGTAGCCTCCTTTTCTCCAGACTGAACAAGCCCAACTCTCTCAGCCTGTCCTCATAGGAGAGGTGCTCCAGCCCTCGGATCATTTTTGTAGCCCTCAAAAGTTTCTTGCAGTACCAATTTTAAAGATGCATCAGTGTACACCTAATGTGATGTACTAAGATGTGTTGCCTGTAAATTTTGATGACACACGAACCCATCCCTTCTCCTGAGGTAAACGCTTTTGATAACTTGTGTTTTCTGACTATCTTCAACTCTATTTTCTAAGTTATATCATACTTAGTTTGGTTTTAGTTACTACAGCACATTTTTAAAATTTCCTTAAAGTTCTGAGATATAAAAAATTGAGACTTTCTTTTAGTGTTTAAATTTGTTTTATAGACTTGCCTCTACCTACAAAACAAAATGAACAAAATTTTGTGTTATTCCTTCCTTCATTTCAATTCTGTCCATCCTAATTCCTGCCCTGTGCTCTCCCTTTGAGTAAATACACTGTCATCTGTGTATCTGTGTCCAACAGAAAGGAAAAATCAACAACAAAGTTCACTACCAACTTTACGCTTCAGATATAAGATCCGCTAGATTATCAGCTGGCCCCAGCTAAAACAGAAAGCACGTACAGAACAAACACAACGTATGCTGTAAATACAACTTCTTATGCAAACCCTGAGCGATAATCTCCACTTTCTGACAGAGCACAAGGAAGTTCTGTTGGAGTTAAACGACCCATCACATGTCTATTTAGGGGACAAAACAATCCTTACACTTGCAAACACATTTTCCAGAATTTTTTCTGCAACTTCAGGCTTGGAATGGGTCAGTGGGGGTGTGGAGGGGTGTGTGTGCGCACAACCAAAGCTTACTCATCAATCCTGAGAGAAACACTTCCGAGGAAATGAAGTGCCACTCCTCTTTCCTTCCTCTCTCCTCCTCCTCCCCATCTTAATAACCTTCACCTTCCAGAATGCGATTTTTTTTTAATTTTATAACACCCTGGGAGTAATACTTGGGATTGAATCCAAGTTGCTTGTGTTTATTAAATACTCTGAAATGCAGGAAACAACTCCTCAGCCGATGAAAGTTTCGAGTATTTCTTGTGCTGTTGAGATGATGGCTGACTTCCTGAACAGCCAGCTGGCCTACTGGGCTGCTTCCTACATGGAAAACTGGCATTACACTGATTTTCTAATTAACGTTCCTGAGATTTTAAAGCTATTCCCCACAGCTTTCGTTTTTCTATTCACTTTTATGAACACCAGTTCATACTGTTTCTTGATTCAAGGACATGTTGAATGAAATCCTCACACTTCTGAAGGGAACTAACTCCATCCCTGGCTTTAATACAGAAAGATTTGACCAAGGTACCTAAACCCAGAGTGTATATTATACATTTATAAAACCTGAAAAATTCAAAAATGAGTTGTGTACCTGTTACTTCCAGTTTGTCACCAGTAACTTCAGCTTTCAGATAAATCCTTCCTCTTTTTTCTGTGTGATCCATGCCACAGAGGCTCGGGACGTTTATTACACATTGCTTATGAACATTCATGTCACAAGCTGTGGACATAAAAATGGTTCAGACAGCTATAAGGAGCTAATAATACGGTTACACTGCAAAAGTGAAAGTTAAGATTACAATGCTTAACCGTTGGCAAGACTTTCAGATTACAGCTGCATGTTTTTCAACTGAACGACATGGCTAGGGTCTATCTTACAATACATCTTGTAGACCGCGAATGACACAGAGAATAAAATAATCTACTTCAGAAACCTAAAGAAATAATTAATGAAGTGTAAGGAAAAAAAAAAAGTGAAAATGGAATGAAGACTTGCTGGGAATATGACTAAGAAAACCGAGCATTCATGCCAGCGTTAGCAATGGAGGCAGTTAGGTTTAAATTGATAATTAGATTTTCTAGCAGGAGATTTCCAAGACAAATGAAATGCAAGGAAAATATCGGACCTTGGCTACCAACCAAACTGAAATTTCAGTTTTCAACAGCGCATTCACCTGACCAGTCCAAAACCAGCCTTTCCCCAAACTGCCGTGGCAAATGCTCTTTGGCCACATCAAATTCAATACACCAAGTTCTCGGCAACAGAGGTGACTTTCATTAGTATATTATTATAGTACTGAAATACTCACTGGAGATATAACAGTACTATAAATAGCTGACATTTGAAATTCCACAGAAAAGAAACAAGAAGCTGTTACCCAGCGTTTCCATTTACTTTCAAAAATACCCTTCTGGTAGCAGAAAAACTTCACTTACTGTCACATTTCATCCCTTGGTGCAGAAGCCCGTAGAGCAGCGACCCACAATGGTCGCAAAAGGTTGGGCTCCCATATGTGTGGATCTTAAATTTGTGCTTGCTTCTGGGATCCTGAAGGAAAAAAACAGAAAGAGAGTCTCAGGTCATAACAAATAAGACTGGCGCACCTTTAACATATTACTTCAAATAGAAAAAACTTCCCAGCTCTGCAATTTATGCTATGGAAAAATATATTCCAGCATGGAGCTTCTTCACAGCCCGTATAGTGGTACCTACACTGCTGCAGGTACGTTGGCCTCGGTTCCTGTTTTTCCTTTGCTTTGGTGTTGGAAGGAAGAGTGCGGCAGCTCGGAGAACACAGGTTTGCTCCTGGGATTCATCTACGCTATAACTTCCCTTTACCAACAGCACCTATACATAAAGTATAATGATGGCGTTTGGCCTGGTGGCTCAAGTGTCGCACACTGCCCGCGTGTTTGCGGTGTGTTGTCATCACCGTTCTGAGACGGCGACACGAAGAATAGCAGGAGAGGAGGGAAGTAACTGTTAAGGGGCTAACTTGAAATACAGAGAAATGCCTGTAAAATCAGGATCTTAAAGACGGGATCATCTTGAAATGTTGCAAACTTATGATCTGTACTATTGCAGATGAAAGCGAACAAATTCTAACTTGGCATGTACTAAATATTTTACCGAGACTGCTATTCCCCTCTGATTTTCCACCAGAGAAATTTATAGTGAGGACATTTTAAGGCCACCAGCAGCTTGGAAATGGTTTCTAATTTAGGACCAGTGAAAGGGAATACACCCAAATCACTTAAACCAAACACCGTATGACAGACGAATGCATTTGCTGTTAGAGGTTCCCTTCGGAAAACCAAGAGCATTTATAGGCAAGTTAGAAACCACAGCTTCAATACCTTCACCCACCTCAGGCTCATTCCACGTATGCACAAGCACAGAACCTCACGTACACAGGACTGGCGCAGCCTGATCCCATCACTTGGAGATGTGCATTGCAAAACCAAACAGCTTGATCACCCCGTACTTTCTGTGCACATCACCCCTGTTCTGAGCTCCTTGATGACCACTTCCAGCTCCAACTGTGTTTTAGTCAAAGCTGCCACTGCACAGTCTCAATCAGAAGTTGGGAATAGCAGTCATTCCTCACAAAAGACTGTGGAAATTATGAAATCCCAGGTCTGTCATGTATTAAAACATCCTTAAAAAAATACAACTGCAAAACGAGACCTCAAAATATTTTTCTTCTGTTTACATTTTACATTCATATACGTTTATATGAGAATTACTAAATTGTCATAAAAAATAAATTCACTTTTCAACTTGCAGCTGCCAATAAAAGCTTTCCAAAAAATCCAAAGCAAAGCACAGCATGTTATACAAGATGGAAAACCTGCTAACTCTGTCTACCGAAACAAAAGACTCCTCAAGTATAAGTCCTTTCTCAAGAAATTAAGGAAATTTGGGAACTCCTAACAGGAATTTTCATAAAAATATGACTATGAGAAGGCAAAGTCTTGTCTTCAAAATTTAATATTTTGCCATACTACACCTTGCAAAGGGTTTTTTTTTTGTTTCGGTAAGCATTCTTTGCATGATTTTTTTTTTTTTGGTACTGATTCTAGGTTTTATCACGAACCCATAACCAGTAGTTTTCCCTGCTCAGATAGAAATTATGTACTATCCAGGACAACGAGTAAAGACTCCACATTCAGAATTCAAATTGAGACTGTTTCAACAGCTCTGTGTGTTATACAGCCTGAGATATGAAATGCAAACTGCGAACAACCACATTTATTTTGTAAAGACAGTTAACCTAAATGGAATGACATCCAATGCTCCAGAGAACATCTGTTTGGTTATTTATTAAAGATATAGCCACCGGGTCTTGTGGTGCAGGGTCATGGGAACACTGCTTTGCTAAAGGTATCTGATGGATGAGCCCTGCCTATACACCTTCCCACCAATTAAAAACACATTTTCAAAGCTAATTCTTCCTTAAATTGTTTTGTTTAGAAGACATAAGGGGCCTTGTTGCCGTATAAATATGTACACTTAAACATTACTTTGGTAAGCACATCTGTTGCTGAGAAGGACGAAACCCACGGCTTCTACGAATGGCACTGAATAAACACATTTTTAAAGTTGTGTTTAACGTCTGACGCAAGTGGTATTTATGAGTATAAAGTAATGATATAGAGGGGAAAGAGCTATGGGAAATTATTATAGTGAATGTCTACCAAATACACTGAACCTGTGTATTAGACTGAAATGATATAACAAACACTACCAAATAATTCCATTCCAATCAACGGAATATACACGGTAATTAAGTTAAGCAGGGCTGTGCGCGTGGCTTAAAAATGTTGTGACACATGAGGACAGCTACACTGCACTCCCTGCAAAGCAGCGCTCCATGAGCCAAGGCTCGTGTCCTCCTGCGCCGAACTGCACGGAATGACAAGACGCCAACAAGGGCATTCTTATAAAACAACGAAATAAAACCAGTCGCATGAATAAATAAATCAGGCGGGATCGCACTTTGAAGCTGGCCCTGCATGAGTCAATGTATATAAACTGAATCATCATTTACTTTCTACAATAAATATTCGCTTTCCATCACTGTGTGAAAGTGCCTACTGTATGTTTAAAATGAACAATTCATTAGGAATTAATTATTTTTTTACAGAGCAGCAAGTATGTTCTGATTATTATCAGTTATTGTTCTATACACACACAGAGTCACTTCTGCAAGGCACGGCATAAAAAAAAGAGGACAAAGGAAAACAGTACCAAAACCACGGATGAAATGGAAACTTTGCACATAGGAAATCTTTTTAAATCCCTTTAACAGAAGTAAATAAAAGAACCTCAAAAAATACTTAAAAGCTAACAAATAGAAGAGTGCACTCTCCATCAGTATTTAATCCTTTTTTCTGTTTCAATCCTATGCATTTTTTTCTTTTTGATAAATTGAATTATACCAAACCTTATCATTTTGAAAGCAAGCCTGAGAAGATGCGGAGAAAGCCAAGGGATCTCTGTGCGCCCATCAGAGGTGGTAAAACCTTTCTACCTTATTCCCTATATTAACACGGGCTTCTCATACACATAGAACTACTCTTGAATCTAGAGTTTACACTTTAATTATAAGTAACTAAATTAGTAATAATTATCACATTGCCAGCACTAATTACTTGCATTATTAACAGCAATTAACACTTATGAGTTGTTAATACAGTTTAATACTTCCCAATGTTAGCTGTGCATTAAGCGACTTGCATGCAGCACCGAGGAAAGAACATCGTCTGTAGTATTTTACAGCTAGAGGTAAACTGCTGAGTTAGAGGTAAGATCCCGTACATTTTCTTCAAATATCCCCTTTTAATCAACGTAAACTTTCAATAATTCCCAAAGCGTAGCTGGCAGTCATATTTCATAGTAAACACAGGGAGCCAAGCCAGGATGTGACAGATGAACTGCCAAATAATGGCTGCTATTTGCAAGAGAATTGAACTTTGCACTAAACTTGGCATAGATTAATTGTGAAACTCTAAAGGGAAAACCCACTTCTGTTTCCAAAATCCATCAAAATTATGAAGGGGGAAAGCGGCAATGGGAATGTGCTTGTTAAGCAGTGATGAATGATCTGCTCTATTAAAGTTCATGTTATTTTCATGCTAAAAAGTGAATTCTCTGCCATTATTAAGACAATCCCGCATTGCATTGAATACAGTGTCATATAATTCAATGGGAAAGGAAACTCTGGGCAATCGATATCCCAGACATTTAAATATTTGTCTTTGAAAAACCTTTAAATTGGCCGAAATCTAGCCAGCGCCCTGCAATTTGACGGCAGGACAACGGACTTTCAGAGCCTGTAATGGCATAAAGGGTGCAGCATCCCCATGAAGACGCATAGCAACTGGGCATCTACAGCCCATACAGCTCTGAAAAAAACCAAAATATCATTCATTAGGCTCAAAGCTGAGATGTGCTTCTTCAGGGAGAGGCGGCCGTAGAATCACACCGACCAGGAGATCTGCGTTGTACGCAGACTTGCGCTACCTGGACCTAATGAAAGAAAACCGACAATGGAGGAGAAACCTTTAAAAAATAACTAAATGAGTTTGCAGAAGTGACTTGCCCAGCCAGCCAGCTCTGGCTCTGCCGAAAGGATCTGTTCCAGCAGAGGGAAGCAGAAGAACGCGGAGGCACCTCAGCAAACCCCCGCGTTTCCCAGTCTCTGCGCTGGCACCGAACTGCATTTTGCCCCCCTGCAGCAGTGTGGCCACCACCCTGGCCTCCGTTCTTTGTTTAGCACCAATGAATCCATTTCCTTTACTGGACAGCAAAGGAAAGGATCCCTCCTCCCGCCCCGAGAAATCATTCCATAATTTTTCTGGCTCAAAGACGGGGGTGTGCAGTAGTTGGAAGCGCACGTTAACCAGCAGCACGTGGCAAACTGTGCTTTAACGCATTACAGACCCGCTCACGAGCTTCGTGTTTCTGAATTCTTCCTAAAAGCTCCCTTTTGATTAGAATTTTGTTCCCCTCGATGGCAACGTTGAACCGCCTATAATTTTACAGGCATTAAATCACCACTTTGCTTTTAAGTATAAAATACACAAAACCCACCACGTGTGAGGTTGCATCAGTGGAGATTTTATATACAAAGCAGCATCGTATTAACACTTGTTAAAGTCCTTTTGCAGTACACAACGTGCTAGTATTGATAACTGTGTCACCAGAACCATGTATCTAAGACCAAAACCTCTGAAACTATATCCATATCGTCTTGAATTCGGCATCTTCTGGGTGACACATCTAGAACCGGTGTGATTTTTGGAAGGAATTTAAATCCACACTGCAAGCAGACCTGTCAGTGCCGGAGCCCGTACCAGTGATCAAGGTGGGGAGAAAAATGGCTGTTTGCAATCATTAACGTTCATCGACAAGGCGTTAGGTAGGATACAAGATGAATTTTTTCTTTCAAAAAGCCCGTGGTTGGTGAAAGGGTTTTTTTCCATATCTGAACCGCGATTTTTGTGATCATTAAGAAGCAGAAAATGCAAAAATGCAAGTGTAGA